TATTTCAGGTAAAGGGTCCATTTGCAGAAGTGTCTGAAGATTTCTCTGCACCGGAGAAGGTTCTGTCAGAGACCAAACGCAATCTCTTGCAAAGGGATAATGTTCAGGAGATAGACAGACATGCCACCTCACTGGGTAAAGACTAACTTCATCTCCTTCTATTGATTATGCTATAAATTCTCGGGATGTGTTTTTGTTCCTTGGAAACCTGGTTCAAAAGTGAACTGGCATCCAATACTTGAGAACTTAAACCAGTGTTACTGGCTTCGCACTTACGATTGTCTTTCACAGGTGATGAAACGAGGCTGGCAAGACCTCCTCGGGCTTCTCCTTTTTGCGATGGTCAAGAAGCAGCTGCTGTGGAACCAGATCAGGTAGGTGGGTCGATCGGTGTTGAAAGAGGCTTGGAACCACTAGGGACCTTATTCTTCTGCTCACCCCTAAACAGATCATATAATCATAGAATCACAGAGTTGGAAGAGACCACAAGGGCCATCGAGTCCAACCCCCTGCCAAGCAGGAAACACCATCAGAGCACTCCTGACATATGGTTGTCAAGCCTCTGCTTAAAGACCTCCAAAGAAGGAGACTCTACCACACTCCTTGGCAGCAAATTCCACTGTCGAACAGCTCTTTCTGTCAGGAAGTTCTTCCTAATGTTTAGGTGGAATCTTCTTTCTTGTAGTTTGGATCCATTGCTCCATGTCCGCTTCTCTGGAGCAGCAGAAAACAACCTTTCTCCCTCCTCTATGTGACATCCTTTTATATATTTGAACATGGCTATCATATCACCCCTTAACCTCCTCTTCTCCAGGCTAAACATGCCCAGCTCCTTAGCCGTTCCTCATAAGGCATCGTTTCCAGGCCTTTGACCATTTTGGTTGCCCTCCTCTGGACACGTTCCAGTTTGTCAGTGTCCTTCTTGAACTGTGGTGCCCAGAACTGGACACAGTACTCCAGGTGAGGTCTGACCAGAGCAGAATACAGTGGCACTATTACTTCCCTTGATCTAGATGCTATACTCCTATTGATGCAGCCCAGAATTGCATTGGCTTTTTTAGCTGCCGCATCACACTGTTGGCTCATGTCAAGTTTGTGGTCAACCAACACTCCTAGATCCTTTTCACATGTACTGCTCTCAAGCCAGGTGTCACCCATCTTGTATTTGTGCCTCTCATTTTTTTTGCCCAAGTGCAATACTTTACATTTCTCCCTGTTAAAATTCATCTTGTTTGATTTCTCTCCTCCTCTTTTCTTCTTTCAAAGCAGCCTGCCTAGGAGGCTGTGAATACCATTAAAGAATGTTTAAGTTCCTCAGGATAATAATCATCTTTCCTTGGAGAATGTTATGGGTTTTGATAGTCCATTAAGGGAACAAAAGAGAAGGCAAGTTGTACAACAGTACTGACCCTGGTATGGGGGCAAGAAGGACACTGAGTGGGGTATTTGTACACAATGACAGAGGTTTGAGTAAAGCAGGGATGGAGTACTACTGTGAGGAAAATTGTGGTTTTTAACAATAGTAGAGGTTTGAGTACAGAACTGTGGGATATTTGAAGGAGCCAGTGTGGTGTAGTGGTTAAGAGCGGTGGACTCGTAATCTGGGGAACCGGGTTCGTGTCCCCGCTCCTCCACATGCAGCTGCTGGGTGACCTTGGGCAAGTCACACTTCTCTGAAGTCTCTCAGCCCCACTCACCTCACAGAGTGTTTGTTGTGTGGGAGGAAGGGAAAGGAGATTGTGAGCCGCTTTGAGACTCCTTCGGGTATTGATAAAGTGGGATATCAAATCCAAACTCCTCTTCTTCTTCTCCACATCCTTTATTTCTTCTCTCTCACATGAGGCAGCTGAAAAATGGGAGAGGGAGACGTTTGAGTACAGCAAGAAGGAAGAGACACTGAAAGAGGCAGGGAAAACAATAACAGAAGTTTGAGTAAAGCTGGGGGTGGAGGGACAGAGAGGATAATGATGGTTTTAAACAACAGAGCTTTCAGTAAAGTGGAAGTAGAGGACACACAGGAAAATGGCAGTTTTAAACAGCAGAGTGAGCAGAAAGTAACACTGAGGGCGGGGGGAGTGGCACTTTAAAGAATAATTCAAATACAACAAGAAGGGAGTTGGGAACAGATTTGTTGTGTTAGCTTTTTTGGTGTCAGCGTCTGTGTTGTCCCCATCATTGATATTTCTCCTTGTTAAAACTGGTTTGGCTTTTTTAAAGGACCAACTGCTCTTTGTCTTTCCATCAGTGCTTTACTCAAACCTCTGCCTGTTTACCCCCCCCCCCCTTTTATTTGTCTATCTGTCCCTCGACACCCACTTTACTCAAACTTCTGCTGTTGTTTGAGTACGGTGAGAAGGGGGAGACCCTGAATGAAAAAAGCTGGCTGTTTTAAACTTCTCCCTTTTCCATTCTACAGCTGCCTCATGTGAAAGAAATAAAAGATGTGAAGCCCTCAAATATTCCATAGTACCTTCAAACAATGTATTTCACTCCTGGCATCATGCATTCCGTGGGACGCGGGTGGCGCTGTGGGTTAAACCACAGAGCCTAGGGCTTGCCGATCAAAATGTTGGCGGTTCGAATCCCCATGACGGGGTGAGCTCCCGTTCTTCAGTCCCAGCTACTGCCAACCTAGCAGTTTGAAAGCACGAAGTGCAAGTAGATAAATAGGTACCACTCCGGTGGGAAGGTAAACGACGTTTCCGTGCGCTGCTCTGGTTCGCCAGAAGCGGCTTAGTCATGCTGGTCACATGACCTGGAAGCTGTACGCCAGCTCCCTCGGCCAATAAAGTGAGATGAGTGCCGCAACCCCAGAGTCGGCCACGACTGGACCTAATGGTCAGGGGTCCCTTTACCATGCATTCCAGATTCAGTGTAGCTATTTAGAAGAATTTATTTGTTTATTTTAAAAAAAACAACCCACCCATATATGTTCAACATCCGTCAACTGAACTAATTTTTTCTAACTGAACAAGCTAACTGACTGGCTTGCTCTTAAGATTCTATCCATCTTAAAGATGCAGTAACACATTCAGCATGGGGGTGTGCGCAAAGGGGGCTGCACAATAGAAGAAGGGATAAGGCATGGACATGGGAATGTGTAAGAGAGAGTTGAGAAACATAGGAAGGAGGGTGGAGGGGGGGAAAGTGAAGTTGAAGACAGGGGTGCAAAGGGAGTTGCAATAAATGAGGGAGTGGAAAGGGAATTGGTGGTGAAATAAAGGATCTGAAGAACAGGAAGTGATGGTGGCTTCATAGAATCATAGAATCATAGAGTTGGAAGAGACCACAAGGGCCATCGAGTCCAACCCCCTGCCAAGCAGGAAAAATTGGGCAGAAACTGGAAAGGGTGCTTAACAGTTGCAACATGTGGGAGGAGGAAGATACAGGAGATTACCATGAGAGTGTTTTTTGTCTTCTTCTTTTGGGAATAAGAACAGTGAGTCTGTAAGTGATTGTGGAGGCCAATTCTGGATCCACAAGTCCTTCCACAGTGGGGGCATAGGTTTCTGGGCGGGAGTTGATCACAGTGAGAGTTTGCCAAGCGTGCCTTCCTCTTAGCATTTCTCCCCCTTTTGTTCTGAGTTTGAATGTCTTCAAAGTCCATGACACCTTTGGTAAAGGCTGTTCTCCAACTGGAACTCTCACAGGCCAATGTTTCCCAGTTGTTGTCATTTATACTACATTTCTTAAGATTTGCTTTGAGAGAGTCTTTAAACCTCTTTTGTTGACCACCAGCATTGCGCTTTCCATTTTTAAGTTCGGAATAGAGTAGTTGCTTTGGAAGACGATCATCAGGTGCTTTTTGTGCAACAGTAGTTGCACACTATAGCTAGCTTAATAGTTGCTTGGGGTTAGAAGGAGAAGCTCTAGGGAGTTAATGGGGTGAATGGGAAGGGAATTCATGAGTGGAATGAGCATAGACACTGCTCCTAGCTATAATAATAATAATAATAATTTTTATTTATACCCTGCCCTCTCCAGCCAAGGCCGGGCTCAGGGTGGCTAACAAGCAATAATAAAAACAAATTGAATGAATACAACTTAAAAACAAGATTAAAATACAACATTAAAATATTGAAAAATTAAAATATTAAAATGTGGCTTCATCACAGGAGGAGAAGGAAAAAGAAAGAGGGAGAGGGAATCAAATTGGCTCCAAGCCAAAGGCCAGGTGGAACAACTCTGTCTTACAGGCCCTGTGGAAAGAAATCAGATCCTGCAGGGCGCTGGTCTCATGAGACAGAGCGTTCCACCAGGCCGGAGCCAGTGTTGAAAGGCCCTGGCTCTGGTTGAAGCTAATCTAACTTCTTTAGGGCCTGGGACCACTAGGGTGTTGCTATTTATGGACCTTAAGGTCCTCCGTGGGGCATACCGGGAGAGGCGGTCCCGTAGGTACGAGGGTCCCAAGCCATGAAGGGCTTTAAAGGTCAAAACCAGCACCTTAAATCTGACCCTGTACTCCACCGGGAGCCAGTGCAGCTAGAAAAGCACTGAGTGAATATGCTCCCATGGCAGAGACCCCGTGAGGAGCCTCGCTGCAGCATTCTGCACCCGTTGGAGTTTCTGGGACAGCTTCAAGGGCAGCCCCACATAGAGCGAATTACAGTAGTCAAGCCTGGAGGTGACCATCGCATGGATCACTGTGGCCAGGTCAGGGTTGGAAAGGTAAGGGACCAACTGCTTGATGCGGTGAAGGTGGAAAAATGTCGCCTTGGCTGTTGCTGTAACATGCACCTCCATGTTTGGGCGTCAAGGATTATACCCAAACTCTTAACGGAAGGTAATAGCACCTATTGGGCCCCCGCAAGAGAAGGGAGTTGGTCCCTCATCCCCATAGTTATCTATAAAGTAGCAACTATTTTCCTTTCTTTCAGGGTCTAGGGCTGTTTGAGGAGTTTTCTGTGTATTTTACTGAGGAGGAGTGGGATATGCTGAATCCTGACCAGAAAGCTCTGTATAAAGAAGTCATGGAGGAGAACTGTTACAGAACCCATTACAAAATCCACACAGGAAAGAAACCATACAAATGTTTAGAGTGTGGAAAGAGCTTTTGTCAAAGTTCAGACTTCATTACCCATAAAAGGATCCATGCAGGGGTGAAACCATTTAAATGCTTGGGATGTGGAAAGGGCTTCTGTCAGAAGACACTTCTCGCTACCCATCAAAGAGTTCACACGCAGGAGAAACCGCATAAATGCTTGGATTGTGGAAAGGACTTTCGTTACAGTTCTGCCCTTATTACTCATCAAAGGATCCACACAGGCAAAAAACCGTATAAATGCTTGGAATGCGGAAAGAGCTTCTGTCAGAAGATAAGTCTCATTTCTCATCAAAGAATTCACACAAGGGAAAAACCACATAAATGCTTGAAATGTGGAAAGAACTTTCGTCACAGTTCAGCCCTAACTACCCATCAAAGGATCCATACAGGGGAGAAACCATATAAATGCTTGGAATGTGGAAAGACCTTTCGACACAGTTCTGCCCTAACTACCCATCAAAGGACACACACAGGGAAGAAACCATATAAATGCTTGGAATGTGGAAAGGACTTTTGTCAGAAGATAAATCTCACTAGTCATCAAAGAATTCACACAGGAGAAAAGCCATTTAAATGTTTGGAGTGTGGAAAGAGCTTTGGTCAGAGGGCTTACCTTACTTTCCATCAGAGAATCCACAAGGGGGAGAAACCACATAAATGCTTGGAGTGCGGAAAAAGCTTCATGCAGAAGAGAAGGCTCACTTCCCATCAGAGAATACATACAGGGGAGAAACCGCATAAATGCCCAGAATGTGGAAAGAGCTTCTGTCAGAAAGCAGATCTCACTATTCACCAAAGAATTCACACGGGGGAGAAACTACACAAATGCCTGGAGTGTGGAAAGAGCTTCTTACGAAAGACACATCTCACTACTCATCAGAGAATTCACACTGGGGAGAAACCGCACACATGCTTGGAGTGTGGAAAGGGCTTCAGTCAGAAGGCGCATCTCACTACTCACCGAAGAAGTCACACGGGGGAGAAGCCACACAGATGCTTGGAGTGTGGAAAGTGCTTCACAGAGAAAAGAGCTCTTACTTCTCATCAAAAAATCCACACGGGGGAAAAGCCACATAAAACTTTCAAGCGTGGAAAGGCCTTTCCTCACAGTTGCGACCTTATTACTAGGCCTACCCAAGGCAGAACGGCTGGCAGTAGCAACAGCTGCAGCAACACAGTCCAGACTGATTTGCCCCCAGTCGTATTAGTCCATCTTCCTCCTAGTACTGCTTGTGTTGGACAACATCAGCCACCTATCCCGATTCCTAACTTTCCTGAATCTTCTGGTCGCGGGGACAAGCCTTCTCCTACTGCCGGGATGTTGTTTGAGGAGGCAGGAGGCCCTGGCAGCAGCAGTCTTGCAGAGTCATCTACTGTAGTGAGCAAAGGGAGAGAGCTTAGCCCACTGGTGGACATCAGCTTATCTGAGGAAGTGTCTGTGTTAGATGCCCTCAGCTTGATTGAAGGTGAAGATCTCTTCCACTCCTCTTCCCTAGGCAGAGGTGCTTCTGTCTGGAACCCTGTGGAACAGGAGCAGCAAGAACACACCCCACCAGTGCCGCGAGGGGGTACCTCCTACGGTTCCCCCACTGCTCCTGGGGTGGCTGTGACCCCCCAGACCGAAAGCAGCCAGCCCGATTCACCACAGAAGCGGCAGAGCATCGTGTGGGACCACTTTGAGGTGGGAGTGGATCCCAGCACCGCCGTCTGCAGCCACTGCAGGCGGGTCATGAGCAGGGGCAGAGACGCAGCACATTATAGTACCAGCAGCCTGCGTTTGCACCTACAGAGGCAGCACCCGTCCATCGTGCTAGGAGCACAGGAAGCCAAGTCCCAGCCGTCAGGGAGCAAGGGCAAATGGGTGGAAACCTAGTGCCAGGAGTAAGGGCAAAGTCCTCTGCCAAATCTCTGTCTCCCCTCGAGCCAAGAAGCTTAGGCCGGCAACAGTGGGGAGGAGGTGGAACAAGGGAGGTGGGCCACGAGGTGGAGGTTTTGAATACCAGACCCAATCGCAAAATGCATGGAAGACGGTTGTGATGAAATGGATTGGCATCAGAACTAAAACCATATGCACATAACCAAGTGTTTGGTAAGAGCGATTTAAAGTAGTTCATAGGTAACAATAAATAATAAACATGGAATTAATAAACCTAATAAAACAATTTAGCCAAATATATGCAACGTATCAAAACGCTACTTGGCGTCAAATGCTTTTTGACCTTTAGGTCTTCAGTGGTCTTCATTACATATCTGTATGTACAGCCACTTTTTGGCTTGAATATCTGATGCTGGGAAACAGTTTACAAATAATGGCAAATATATGTATCTAATAGCGTTTATTATATCGAATAATATTGATTCTATCTTTGCAGGTGTTGCACTGCATGGGTGTTGTTTTTTAAAATTATTTGCTACGTTAAATTATTCTTATCAGATAATTGGTTATGTGTATATGATTTTAGGTGTTATCCCAAACTGTTGTTTCAGAACAACCTGATGGCTCTTGTGGTCTTATTTTATGCACTATTGTGTCACACTACCTTAAGTGGGAGAATGGTGCCCTCGCAGTGCTGGCATACAGAGAGAAAGTGTGTTCCCTTGTAGGCAGGGTTGCCTTTCTCATATAAGCCCATGGCACTGCTTCGGTCTTCAGAATGGGCGCTGTTCCCAGTGCCACATAATCCTCAGTTGTGAAAAATCAATATTTCAGTGCAGCAGCATCTACACATTGGAACTCCCTGCCTATTGAGACCAGACAGATGCCTTTGCTGTACTCTGTTTTGCTCCTGCTTAAAACAATTTTATTTAGGCAAGCCTATCTAGACACGTAGATGTTGATGTCTTTGAATCCTTTTCACTCTTAATTTCAGTGATCTGTAAATGTTTTCCGCTGTTTTGAACTGTTTTCATTGATATTTCTTGAAACCCACCAAGAGGTTTTACTACAGTTATACGATTTTTGTTAAATAAAATAAAAACCAGCCGGGGACCACATGCCACATGGCCAGAGACAAAAGTGATGTGAGTTTTGCATTCCAGCCACAAAACAAGCCAGAGAATTCTACTCCCACTTGCGTCCATCTTGGCATACAAGGGCCACCAACACAATTTAGTGACCTATTCCAGCCAGGCAAAAGCACTTGAGGGGTATGTGTGTGGGAATGTTGTGGATAGTAGGAGAGGATATACTGATTATATATTATTCTTCCACACTCACGCTAGTGGGTTACATATAGCAGAGCTCATTCCCCATTTACACAGCAAGAAGCTAGTTTGTAGATTCATATGAATCTCTAAGCTGTCCAATCTGGCGTGCCCAGATTGGAGTATATTCCTGGTAAGACCCCTTTGATTCCCGCCTAAAAGAATAAAGACACAAGAGTCTTCCTCATAAGTAATGAATAGTTTACTTACATTCAGTTCACAGTATGCTCTCTGAAGGCATGCTTTAGCTTGTAGTTACAAAAGAAGATGTGGATTTATCCCATATGGGGATTTATCCCATGTGCTGCTAGCCGAGATCCCATTTTAATTTTTGGGCTGTGTGTCCGAGACAGTCAATCTCTTGGGCTTGAAGCTTTGGGGGGCTTTGGATCATAAACACAAAGTTAATAGATAATAATAATAAACAACTTAAATCAGATCCTGCTTTTGTAGCATGCGTGCACAAACACATATATAATTATATATGTAAGTGTATATAATTTTATTGTTTAATATTCTTGCTTATTCCCAGGTGGGGTGCCTACTTCCCCATTTTCATTTTCCAGTTTTTCCCACACATCTTTGTTCTTCCGCATCCGTCCCATAGGATATAAAATTCATTTCTCCAGTCTTTCCAGAAGCTGCAAAACACAGAAACGTTCCTTATGGTTGCTATGCTGCAGATTGTTTTCCTGAGGAGAGTTAGATTTACAAATGCATAGTTTATTTCCTTTGGCACATGAAACATTCCTTTCAATTAGCATTCTGTATTTTGCACTTACGCATCAGGGTAATAATTTTAAGGGGTTTTCCCTAAGGAAACTGGAGATTTTAAGGGCCTAAGCTGATTTTATTTGAATTTTATCGTTCCTACGCTGTTCATTGTAGATATTAGTCAAACCGAACCCTGTGGAACTCCCTCCCACCAAATGTCAAGGAGATAAAGCACTACACAACTTTTAGAAGACATCTCAATAAATAATAATAATAAATAATAAACCATTAAAAAGCTCCTGTGTCAGGAGGTTTTTAATGTTTGATGTTTTATTATGATTTTATATGTGTTGCAATTTAAAATAATGCATCCGATAGAAAAAGTGGACAGAAAAGTGTTTCTGTCCCAAAGTCATTAACTCCAGAACTTGAGGAGATAAAATATTGCTTCTTCATACAGAACATGAACTACAGAATCTGCTCCCACAGGAAACATGGTGGCTTTAAAAGAGGATGAGACCCATTTATGGAGTATGAGGCTAGTCCTAGACTTTGCAACTCCTGCCCTAGAGAAGCCATATTGGCTGCCAGCAGGTGAAGACCTCCATATGCCCACAAGTCTCTGGGAACTGGCTGTTTTTGAGGAAAGGACTGGTGTTGCTGTCGTTTTATTACTGTTAACATCAATACTTTTAATAGTTCTTTATATCCATATATATTTTAACTCTCTTGGAGTTTAGTCACTTTTTTCTATTTTATCGGTAAGCTGCATTGACTTCTAGTCCTGGAAAAAGACAGGCCATAAACATCATAATATTAATACAAATGGTGTGGCAGCCATATCCTGTTGAGCAGTCAGACACGTAGGCAGCAATCCTATGGTTACCAGATTTTTTTCAATGAATCCGGGGACTTTTTTTTTTTAAGCCGAGTAGCAACAGGGAGTCAGTAGTGGGGATGGTGAGGCAAAAGACCCTGGGCCAAAGCACACATGCATATTGTATAAAGGTGCAAAGCCCTTCTTTCACACCCTGTGAAACATCAATGCGCAGAGTTTTTTAAAAAACTGGGCAACGGCCAACCACCAGCAACTCCTGAGCCTCTCCTATCAGTCAAAACAAAGGGGGAAGAGGACAGGAGATCTGTACTGCTGGACATCCCTGGTTCCCCTTCGGCAGTGGCAGCAGCAGCGGCAGTCAGCAGCCCAGAGTCAGCCTGGTAGCGCAGTTGGCTGCCATGGCGCCCACCATTTTTCCTCGCCGTATGTTCCAGCAAGGAAAAATGGCGGGTGCCATGGCAGCGGGGACAGTGAGCAGCTCCTGAAGCCAGCCAGAGCCAACTGCGCTACCAGGCTGGCACCCAGCTGCTGAGCCTGCCACTGCCACGTTTCCCGAGGACAGATTTGCACATCTGGGGACGGATTCTGGGGACGGAATTTGTCCAGGGACAGATTTGCAAATCCGGGCTAAGCAAACCCACCCCTTTGCTTAAGCTTACATTGCAATATCCCCGAAACGCTGAAAGCAAGAAAAGGAGAAGAAGCCTTATATGGAAATTGCAGAGTGCCTAACAGTTTCTGTGCAATGCTGAGCTCTTTGCAATAACAGGAAGTAAGCTTAAACAAAATTTTAAAAAATTCCTTCCAATAGCACCTTAGAGACCAACTAAGTTTATTATTAGTTGGTCTATAAGGTACTACTGGAAGGAAATTGTTTTTATTTTGTTTCGACTACGGCAGACCAACACGGCTACCTAACTGTAACAGGAAGTAAGCTTATAAGGAATAAAGGAAGGGTGCTGTCCCAAATGATTGGTTAAATTTTGCTGCAGTATATGAATATTCAATGCTAGATGCTGAAAGGCCAAAGGGTATAAAAGCCCCTGGAACCTGTTGCTCGAGGCTGAGACTTTCGAACTCATTATTCTGAGCCACTTTGCTGCTGGTTACAAATAAAGGAACTATTGATTTTCTCTATTGCTGCATGTGAGTTTTCAATCAGCCTAGCAGTTTTGCAACAATGGTAAGGAGAATGTCCATGGGTTCTGGCCAAGCTGGCTCTGCTTCAAATATGTGTCCTTTTTTGGGGGGGGGGGTTCTAGATGTCACTTGCTGGAAATCAACCTTCTTAAAGTCCAGAGTGCATCTCTGACTCCGCTCAGCATGAACCCCAGGAGGACAGGGTCACTCTCTACCGGGAAATGGTCACTTCCTCACAAAAATCCCAGTACAGTGGTACCTCGGGTTAAGTACTTAATTCTTTCCGGAGGTCCGTTCTTGACCTGAAACTGTTCTTGACCTGAAGCACCACTTTAGCTAATGGGGCCTCCTGCTGCGGCTACACCGCTGCTGCATAATTTCTGTTCTCATCCTGAAGCAAAGTTCTTAACCTGAAGCACTATTTCTGGGTTAGCAGAGTCTGTAACCTGAAGTGTCTGTAACCTGAAGCGTATGTAACTAGAGGTACCACTGTACTTAGGCTGTTTTTTGGGGGGGGTGAGTTATTGGGTAGTTTTTGTTTTGATAGTGTATCTTCTGTTTTTATATTGTGATTTGATTTTGTGAACTGCCCTGAGACCTGCGGGTATAGGGCGGTATACAAATTAATAATAATAATAATAATACTTCAGATTCTCCATGTAGGTTTGGACCAGGTCCAAGAGAGATGACATCCTTGTTACTTCTTTCTATGATTATTAGCTATTTTTAATAGTTCTTTCTATTTATATATCCTTATTAGAGTACAATTACTTTTTAAGGATTATGTTAGGTTTCCTGTTTTATGTGAAAGCCACCTTCACTCACAGTCCTGGGGAAAAGGAGGCATATGCTATGGCTCTCAATGGTCACTGCATCCAGCATGGGGCACCTGCTGGAGGAGAGGATACTGCCCTCGGGGCCTGATCCTGCAGGGCTTTCTACACAAAATGGGGACTCCTCTCCTCGCTATTCGCCCGGAGCAGCCAAGAGGTTCCTCCCGCTCGGCTCTGCAAGGGTTAAGACGAAACCACAGAGCCAAGATTCCTAGAGCGGAAGGGGGGGGGTTCCTGCGCGAGAGGAGGAGGTTCCGCTTCCTGTTCCTCTCCTTCCTTCCTGTGGGACGCAGTTGCTTTGCCTGGAGGCGCCTCTTTCCTCTTCTTCCTTGCGGAGGAGCTTCTCCCGTTCTTTCTCCGCAGGGGAGGCTGCCTCTCCTGCCGCCTCCAGGTCAGATGCGGGGAAGGAGAGACGGAGGAAGGAGGAGGAGGAGGAGGAATGTATGTATGGTGTTTTGGGGGCTGGTCTTGGGCAAGAGGGGGGGCGATTTCAAAGGTCCTTATAGGGGCTTCGGGGTTCTCCTCCCTCCTGCGTGTGGTGAGCGGAGACCATGTTGCCACACTTTATTTCCCTTAATAAAGATCAGGCTTTCCAGCCGCTTTACTATCAATATATTCTGCTTGGGCTCTGCTTCCTCTCCGACCGTCTAAGACAGGGGTCTGCAACCTGTGGCTCCGGAGCCGCATGTGGCTCTTTTACACCTTTGCCGCGGCTCCGGGGCGGATACTAGCGAGGGGAGGAGGCGCATTGTGCGCCCCGACACTCCCCACTGTGGCGGGCGCTGTACTGGCTGTGACGTCGCATGGGGGCGGTGCGTGCGTTAGTCACGCACCGTCCCAACGTCCCCTTCCCGCCCGCTGTCAGATCGTGGCTCCGGAGATATATTTATTTTAAATGTCGCAATGGTTTTGCGGCTCCCAGTTGTTGTTTTTTCTTTGTAAACGGGTCCAAGTGGCTCTTTTTGTCTTAAAGGTTGCAGACCCCTGGTCTAAGAGATCTCTTATACGGGCTCTAGATACCCCAGGAAGATATTATAAATATTATACTTATGACGACACCTTACCTTGGAGTGCTTACAAAGAAGGGAATGGTTTTCTTCTTCCAGGGCTTGGTGAGCTTCGATGAGGTGTCTGTGCGTTTCACCAACGAGGAATGGGCCTTGCTGGATCCGGGCCAGAGAGCTCTGTACGAGGAAGTCATGGAGGAGATTCGTGAGATGGTGACATCTGTGGGTACGGATCCTTTTCTCCTTAATCCATAGCTAGCAAAGGTGTGAATTATTGTTGGTGTACCATCAATGAGATCACTAGAAAGCACTTTGTAATTTCTCCTGGACAAAGGAACATTCGAAGACCCCTGTAGGTTCAAAGCAAAGGGCCACATAGTCCAGGATTCAGTTCTCACGCTTGCCAACCAGATGCCTATAGGAAGCCATCAAAGAATGGACCCATTGGCTATGAGTTACCTGCCTTGATTTCCCCTTTTTTCTGGCCAGGGAGGTCTCTTGTTGGATTGGGTGAGGGGTAAACAACTGCATGTCACAGAAACAGAAGGCTGAAAAGGTCTGCTGTGTGCTGGTTGCGATTTGTTGCATTGGGGGAGAGTCCTAGTCTGCCTAGCTGCATAGCTTGCAAAGCAGTGTACAGGGCAGAATGGATGGAGTGGCATGGATCTGAACCTCCTCTCTGTCCCCAACGACTCACAGGGAGAATCGGAGGACCCAGCTGATTTGGGAACTGAGCTTACACAGGAGGGTTGTGCACGAGAGGGGGAGGTCCTCAGGCCTGTTGAGGAAATGGCACCCAACACCCAACTTACTGTTCTGGCTCCCAAACATGTTCTAAGACCCTTGTCCAGTAAATGTGCACCTGTTATCCTGCAGCACGATTATTTCTGGATTCTGCTTGTGGAAGGGAGAGGAAAGAGTCGTGGTGGGGATCTTATTCTGCCACCTGAGTAGAATGCTCACAAGGACCTCTCTTCCTCCATAAGACAGGAGTAGGGACGCCTGGCTCCCTCCCAGAAGCTGCTGAATCCCAACATCCTCTCTGTTGACTGTCCATGTTTGCTGGAGCTGATGGGACTTTTTTCAGCTGCATTTGGAGAGCCAAAGGTTCCCAATTCCTCCCTTAAGGACTTTCAACTTTAAAAAAACCAACACTCTTTATCCTGTTTCTCTACATCAGTGTTTCCCAACAGGGGCCCCAGGATTTTCCAACGGGGTCCCAGGTGAAAATTATGTAAATTGGGGGGGGGGGCTGTACAGCATGAGGCTTAGGGAGCCACAGAGGGAAGTGAGAAGAAAATGGAAAAAAGCCATTAATCATTCTGTTTTGGTTTCAAAATCCTGATTGGCTGGCTATCTGCTAGGCCAATCACAAGCAGGTAAGGGGGTGGCCCACCGGGCAGCGTAGCGCTGCTTCTTCTGTTTTCCTTTGTGCATTTTCTTAGAGCAGTCCTGTTTTGTTTCAAGCTGGAGATGGCCATCTCTGAGGCTCTTGTTTTGACCACTGCTTGTTGCTGCCACCAATGCTTGGCCAGGTGGCAGCCTGGGCCTGATTCTGAAAGACGCGGGGTGCAATCGACACCAGCGCCTAGGAGATCGGGGCACAGGGCCTGTCGGCAGTGTCGGCCTAGCCGAGTGGATTTGTCTGGTGCTGCTGACTTGCATCTAGAAAACTGCTAAGTGTCTACTTTGAACAAAGCAGTACTGAGTTCAGTGGGCCTTATCCCCAGGTAAGGGTGTGTGGGGCTATAGTGTTTTTTCTAGGCAGCCAGGGCTCCTCCGGATGACTAGATCTTTTGCACCAGGTCAGTGAGGACCACTTGCTTTTAAAATTCTCCCAGATATACAGAACTCCCTGTGCTCTTTTTGCAGACTCTCCAAGTGTCCCTATTTTCCAAGGACAGTCCTGGATTTACAGAAGCCGTCCCAGTTTCTGATTTGATTCCGGAATGTCCTGCTTTTCCTTAAGGTCTCCCTATTTTCGCCAGAGAAATGTTGGAGGGTATGGAGTTATCCGACCCCCGAGCCATCTGAAGGCAGCCCTGTGTAGAGAAGGTTTTTAAAAATGTTTTATTAAGTTTTTATATATGTTGGAAGCTGCCCAGAATGGCTGGGGCAACCTGTCAGATGGGCAGGGCATTAATAGTAAAATGATTATTATGGAATAGGACGTACCTATTTTCATCGGAGATAAGTTGGAAGGTATGCTTTTGGACTGTTGTTTGTAGGTTTCTCCCTCTGTGTCAAATAAAGGTGAAGAAAAGGTAAAGTACACCTTGACGGTTAAGGCCAGTCAAAGGCTACTTTGGGGTTGCAGCGCTCATCTTGCTTTCAGCCGAGGGAGCCAGGGTTTGTCCACAGACAGCTTTCTGGGTCATGTGGCCAGCATGACTAAACCGCTTACAATCATTTTTTCCCCTTTAAAAATCCTGATTGACTGAATATCTGCTCAATGATGCACAGGCAAGTCACGGGGCAGCCTAGCACTACTTTTATTTATTTTTTCCTTTTTGCATTTCTTGGAGCAGTCCTGGTTTGTTTTCAGCTGGAGAGGGCGATCCTTGAGGCTTCTGTTTTGACCACTGCTTGTTGCTCCGCCAGTGCCAGGCCAAGTGGCAGCCTGGGTCTGACTCCGCAAGAGGTGGGGTGCAATCCTCCCCAGTGCCTAGCAGATCAGGCCGCAGGGTTCATCGGCAGTGTTGGTGTGGCTCTGCAAGACGCGGCACGAAATCCACCACAGCACCTAGCCAAGTGAATTCGTCTGGTGCTGCTGACTTGCATCTAGTAAATTAGTGTCTACTCAGAACAAAGCAGCACAATGTTAAATGGGCTTTACTCCCAGGTAAGGGTATGGGGCTATGGTGTTTTTTCTAGGCAGCCACTGCTCCTCCGGATGACTAGATCTTTTTTGCACTAGGTCAGTGAGGACCACTTGCTTTTTAAAATTCTCCCATATATACAGTCCTTTTTGCAGACTCTCCAAGTGTCCCTATTTTCCAGAAACAGTCCTAGATTGACAGAAGTCATCCCAGGTTCTGATTTGATTCCGGAATGTCCTGCTTTTCCTTAGGACGTCCCAGAGAAATGTTGGAGGGTATGGGGTTATGCAACCTCCAAGCCATCTGAAGGCAGCCCTGTATAGGGAAGAGTTTAAGTTTAATGTTTTATTATGTCTTTATATATGTTGGAAGTCGCCAAGTGGCTGGGGCAATCCAATCTGATGGGCGGGGTGTTGTTGTTGTTGTTGTTGTATAGTTGTGTCTGACTCTTCGTGACCCCATGGACCAGAGCACGCCAGGCCCTCCTGTCTTCCACTGCCTCCCTCAGTTTGGTCAAACTCATGCTGGTAGCTTCGAGAACACTGTCCAACCATCTCGCCCTCTGTCGTCCCCTTCTCCTTGTGCCCTCCATCTTTCCCAACATCAGGGTCTATTCCAGGGAGTCTTCTCTTCTCATGAGGTGGCCCAAAGTATCGGAGCCTCAGCTTCAGGATCTGTGCTTCCAGTGAGCACTCAGGGCTGATTTCTTGCAGAATGGATAGGTTTGATCTTCTTGCAGTCCATGGGACTCTCAAGAGTCTCCTCCAGCACCATAATTCAAAAGCATTCATTCTTCGGCGATCAGCCTTCTTTATGGTCCTGCTCTCACTTCCATACATCACTGCTGGGAAAACCATAGCTTTAACGATACGAACCTTTGTCGGCAAAGTAATGTCTCTGCTTTTTAAGATGCTGTCTAGGTTTGTCATTGCTTTTCTCCCAAGAAGCAGGCATCATTTAATTTTGTGACTGCTGTCACCATCTGCAGTGATCATGGAGCCCAAGAAGGTAAAATCTCTCACTGTCTCCATTTCTTCCCCTTCTATTTGCCAGGAGGTGATGGGCCCAGTGACCATGATTTTAGTTTTTTTGATGTTGAGCTTCAGACCATATTTTGCGCTCTCCTCTTTCACTCTCATGAATAGTTTCTTTAATTCCTCCTCACTTTCTGCCATCAAGGTTGTGTCATCTGCATATCGGAGGTTGTTGATATTCCTTCTGGCAATCTTAATTCTTGCTTGGGATTCATCCAGTCCAGCCTTTCCCATGATGCATATAAATAAGCAGGGAGATAATATACAGCCTTGAGGTACGCCTTTCCCAATTTTGAACTAACTGTAGCTTCTTGTCCCACATGGATGGGGTATTATTAGTAAAATTATTATTATTATTATTCTGGAATAGAACGTATCTATTTTCATTGGAGAAATGTTGGACGGTATGCTTTTGGATTGTTATCTGTAGGTTTCCTGCTCTGTGTCAAATAACTGGGATCAAATAAGTGTTGTTTACTTTTTATAATACAGTACAAGGGAGATCTCCCTCTGGAGGTTCTGGACTCTCCTTCCCTGGAGGTTTCTAAGCAGAGGTTGGGTGGGCATCTGTCATGGAAGCTTGAGCTGAGATTCCTACGTTTGTATGGGTTGCACTAGAAAGATGACTCTTGGGGTCCCTTCCAGCTCTATGATTCTTATGTTTATCTGCTTTTCATTATGCTCCTATTATTTTATGTAGTTGTATTTTGTATAAATCATAAAAACATTATGATAAATAAATTATAAAAGAGGTTCTATTTACAAACAAAACATTTCAGTAGCTACCTTTCTACCGGTAGGAAGGGGTTGGGGGCCACAGGAAGGAAAGGAGGTCGGAAATGGGCCACGGTTGGAAAAAGATGGGGGAACTCTGCTCTGCATCATGTTTCTAAATTTAAGAAAGGGAAGGGCAGGCTGCCATTTAGATGAGGAGGATTTTCTGTGGATGGTGCAAAATGCAAAAGAGAGACGCAAGCACCTTCAAATCAGCATTAAAAGTCTTGTGTGGATGAGGCCTTAAACCAGGGGTCGGCAAACTTACTGACCTGGGCTGGTTCACTCCCCCGGAGATCTCAGCGAGCGCCGGATTGTGAGAACACACACCCGCAGGCACTATTTCTGGCGTGGAGAAGGCGCCTCCAGCTTCCTATTGGTTGCAGGAATTTGCTGTATCCAGTAGGAAGCCCCGCCAGTGCCGCGGAAGTGAGTCGCCGCGATGCGCTGGTTTAGCGCAGCATGCAGAGACTTGCAGAGCACATGGCAGGGTTCGGGGGTGGCTTGGGGGCCGCTTAAATGACCCCCCTGGCCAGATGTGGCCCAGGAGCTGTAGATTGCCGACCCCTACCTTATACAGACACATCATTTTACCACTTTTCCTTTTTAATCCATTAGGAGATGTTTCGGAGTTCCTGACTGAAGGAGAACAATCAGAACCATCACGTGAAGGAGCTGAGGAGCAGAAGGAGCAACGGAAACAGCGGGTTCAAGTTGGAACCTACAGAAAGGAGGGGACCCAAATGCAGAAGGTGGGGAGGGAATCCACTGCTTCTCAGGTTAATGAAAATCAGATTGGCAGAGAGAAGCATGAATGTACTGTGTGTGGAAAGAGATTTCCTCATCGCTCAACGCTTACTACACATCAAAGAGTGCACTCGGGTGAAAAACCATATAAATGCTGGGAGTGTGGAAAAAGTTTTAGGCAGAGTAGTAACCTTACTTCACATCAAAGAACTCATACAGGGAGGAAACCTCATCAGTGCTTTGAGTGCGGAAAGAGCTTCAGTAACAGTGGCTCCCTTACTTCGCATCAAAGGACTCATACAGGGGAGAAACCTCATAAATGCTTTGAGTGTGGAAAGAGCTTCAATCAGAGTGGCTCCCTTAGTAGGCATCACGCAATCCACACAGGGGACAAACCGTATGAATGCTTGAAGTGTGGAAAGTGTTTCCGTCAGAGGAGCAGCCTCACTAGACATGAAAGAACTTACACAGGGGACAAACTGTGTGAAAGCTTGATGAGTGGAAAGAGCTTCCATCAGGGGAGCATCCTCACTAGAGATAAAAGAACTCACGCAGGTGAAAAACCTCACAAATGTTTGTACTGTGGGCAGGGCTTCAGGCACAAAGGCACCCTCACAAGGCATCAAAGAATTCATACAGGGGACAAACCTTATGGGTGTTTGGAGTGTGAAATGAGCTTCAGTCGCAAAGACTCCCTTATTTTGCATCAGAGTAGTCACACAGGAGAAAAACCTTATAAATGCTGGGAGTGTGACAAGAGCTTCCGTGAGAGTGGCGCCCTTAGTCGGCATCAAAGAACTCATACAGGGGAAAAGCCTTATACCTGTTTTGAATGTGGAAAGAGCTTCAGTCAGAGTTATCACCTTATTGATCATCAAAGAACTCATAGGAGGAGAAACCTCATTAATGCTTTGGAAGAGCTTCAGAGACATTAGCTCCCTTAATATGCATCATACAACCCACACAGGGGACAAGCCATATTACAGATGTTTGGAGGGTGGGGAGAGCTTCCGATATAGTGACTCCCTCATGAAGCATCAAAGAATTCATACAGGGGACTGTATGCAGTGTTGAAAGAGTTTCAGTTGCAAAGACTCCCTTAGGTAAAGATAAAGGGACCCCTTACTGTTAAGTCCAGTTGCGAACGTCTCTGGGGTTGCGGCGCTCATCTTGCTTTACAGGCCGAGGGAGCTGGCGTTTGTCCACAGACAGCTTTCTGGGTCATGTGGCCAGCATGACTAAACTGCTCCTGGCGCACGGAGGACCGTGACGAGTGCCAGAGCGCACGGAAACACCGTTTTCCTTCCTGCAGGAGTGGTACCTATTTACCGTAATTTTCGCTCCAAAACACGCACTTTTTTGCTCCTAGAAAGTAAGGGAAAATGCCTGTGCGTGTTACGGAGCGAATGCACTCGACCGGAGCCATGGCTGCTGTCAGTCAAGCAAAGCGGGAGCCGCTTGCAGGGCTTTGCACGACTCTAGCTTTGCTTGCTTTACAGCCAGGAGGAGGGGGAGGAGCCAAGGAGGAGGGAGGGAAGGAGAGCCATGGCAGCAAAGCGGGCAGCAGCCGCTTACACGGGAGGAAGGACAGACGGGAGCCATAGCGAGCCGGAAAAAGCGCCGCGTAGCCAGCAACAGCTGCTGCAGCCTCAGCTAGCAAAGGTCCGTGCGCTCTCTAAACGGAGCAATGAGGCTGCAGAGGGACGGCAGGGCACAGGAGGGCTCTGAGCCACGAGTGCAGTGAAAACCAGTAAAAAAGTTTTTAAAAAGGCTGCTGGGGACAGGAGGGCACGGGATGAGGGAGAGGGGGAAATAACGATTCTCCCAGTGTCTCAGCTGATCCGCTGAGCAGGACTTGGGCCATTAGCTGTGTAAACATTATTAGCAGCATCCTTCTCCACACACCCCACGCGTGTTCCTTCTTCCCTTAAACCCCTCTTCTGCATTATTAGCCGCATCCTTCTCCACACACCCCACGTGTGTTCCTTGTCCCTTGAATGCTTTTCCTTCCCTCCCCACTTAAAACATGGTTACAAAGCACGGATCCACATGGATCCTCAGGATTTTTGCACTGGGTCACCCCAAGTTCACCATCAGATCACATAGTATATCCATGGCTATAGCCTGCACCAAAAAACACACACGCACCCACTGTTTCATGGGGCTGCAATGGCGCAAAAATGTGGTTACAAAGCATGGATCCACATGGATCCTCAGGATTTTTGCATTGGGCTACCCCAAACTCACCGTCAGATCACGTCTGTGGCCACAGCATGAACCACAAAAATCATACATCCACTGTTTCGTTTAGAGTATTTTTTTCTTGTTTTCCTCCTCTAAAAACTACGTGCATGTTATGGTCAGGTGCGTGTTATAGAGCGAAAACTACGGTATCTACTTGCACTGACGTGCTTTTGAACTGTTAGGTTGGCAGGAGCTGGGACCGAGCAACGGGAGCCCACCCCTTTGCAGGGATTCGAACCGCCGACCTTCAGATCAGCAAGCCCAAGAGGCTCAGTGGTTTAGACCACAGCGCTACCTGCGTCCCTCAAAAAGACTCCCTTACTTTGCATCAAAGAACTCACACAGGAGAAAAACCTTATAAATGTTTGGAATGTGGAAAGAGCTTCATTCAGAGTTGTCACCTCACTAGCCATAAGATAATTCAAACAATGGATAGCCCTTACAAATGTTTGCAGTGTGACAAGTGCTTCAGCTGGCAGTGGGAGGCCCCATTAGCGAAAGCGCACCTCAGGTTAAGAATGGTTTCAGGTTGACTCAGGAACATTCTACCATATGTGGTGAACATGTAGGAAAATACAGGTATTCTGGGAGAGTATACATGCAGAACTGCAAAAAATGCTAAAGATCTCTTTCAATAAAAAACCAGAGGCCTACCTCCTGGGAATAACAGATTTGGATATTCCACAAAAGAGGAAGGGTATCTTTTTATATGCGACAGCGGCAGCAAGAGTTTTGATCGCAGCAAAATGGAAGAGTAATGAAATCCCCTCTATACAAGATTGGATCCCAAAGCTGACAGAATATGCCGAATTAGATGGTTTATCAGAAAAATAAAGAATAAATCAAAACAGGAATTTGTTTCTAAATGGGAGGTTTTCAAAGAATATCTGAAAAATAAATATAGTAGTTTAAATTCTGTTGCAGCATTAGAGGAACTTCAGTAATAGTTGCTAGGTAGATAGAAGAGGTTCCATCATGGGAGCATCCTCACTAGACATAAAAGAACTCACGCAGGTGAAAAACCTCACAAATGTTTGGACTGTGGGAAGGGCTTCAGGCACAAAGGCACCCTCACAAAGCATCAAAGAATTCATACAGGGGACAAACCTTATGAGTGCTTGGAGTGTGGAAAGAGCTTCACTCGCAAAGACCACCTTACTTTGCATCAGAGAAGTCACACAGGAGAAAAGCCTTATAAATGCTGGGAGTGTGACAAGAGCTTCTGTGACAGTGGTGCCCTTACTCTGCATCGAAGAACTCATACAGGGGAAAAGCCTTATAAATGCTGGGAGTGTGGCAAGAGCTTCCGTGAGAGTGGTTCCCTTACTCGGCATCGAAGAACTCATACAGGGGAAAAGCCTTATACATGTTTTGAATGTGGAAAGAGCTTCAGTCAGAGTTGTCACCTTAATGATCATCAAAGAACTCATACGGAGGAGAAACCTCATTAATGCTTTGAAAGATGCTACAACAGCAGCAAGAATACTTAGAATCATAGAATCATAGAATCATAGAGTTGGAAGAGACCACAAGGGCCATCGAGTCCAACCCCCTGCCAAGCAGGAAACACCATCAGAGCACTCCTGACATATGGTTGTCAAGCCTCTGCTTAAAGACCTCCAAAGAAGGAGACTCCACCACACTCCTTGGCAGCAAATTCCACTGTCGAACAGCTCTTACTGTCAGGAAGTTCTTCCTAATGTTTAGGTGGAATCTTCTTTCTTGTAGTTTGGATCCATTGCTCCGTGTCCGCTTCTCTGGAGCAGCAGAAAACAGCCTTTCTCCCTCCTCTATGTGACATCCTTTTATATATTTGTACATGGCTATCATATCACCCCGTAACCTCCTCTTCTCCAGGCTAAACATGCCCAGCTCCCTTAGCCGTTCCTCATAAGGCATCGTTTCCAGGCCTTTGACCATTTTGGTTGCCCTCCTCTGGACACGTTCGAGTTTGTCAGTGTCCTTCTTGAACTGTGGTGCCCAGAACTGGACACAGTACTCCAGGTGAGGTCTGACCAGAGCAGAATACAGTGGCACTATTACTTCCCTTGATCTAGATGCTATACTCCTATTGATGCAGCCCAGAATTGCATTGGCTTTTTTAGCTGCCGCGTCACATTGTTGGCTCATGTCAAGTTTGTGGTCAACCAAGACTCCTAGATCCTTTTCACATGTACTGCTCTCAAGCCAGGTGTCCCCCATCTTGTATTTGTGCCTCTCATTTTTTTTGCCCAAGTGCAATACTTTACATTTCTCCCTGTTAAAATTCATCTTGTTTGTTTTGGCCCAGTTCTCTAATCTGTCAAGGTCGTTTTGAAGTGTGATCCTGTCCTCTGGGGTGTTAGCCATCCTGTCCTCTGGGGTGTTAGCCACTTATTGCAAAGTATTGGAAGACACAAGATTTACCCACCCGGGAAGAACGGCAGGTGAAGCTGATGGACTATATGGAACTGGCGGAAATGACTGGCAGAATCCGAGACCAGGGAGAAGAGTCGGTGGAAGAAGATTGGAAAAAATTTAAAGACTATTTACAGAAACACTGTAAAATTAATGAATGTTAGAAGGATGCTGGGATGAAGTTATATGGCTTTAGCAGAAATGTTATAAAGAATTAAGTAAAAATAGACTGTTAATGGGCTAAAGGGGGAAAAATAAGGTTAGATTGTGTTAAGATAAATTATGGGACAAAAACTGAGAAAGATGGAAAGGATTTGCTGAAATAGCTAACTGAACTAGAATACAAAAAGAGTGGTGTGAGGAGGTCTTCGAAACAAGTAAATGAAAGATAAGATATGGAAATATTGGATGCGTTTTTAATTGTTTCTGTTTTTGTTTTGTTAAGATAAGTAGTGTTTTCTGTTTTATATGTATTGTATTGTATTTTTTGCTTTGTTTAACTTTTTTTTCTTCTTTCTGTGATTTCTAAACTCTTAAGAAACATTATTTTTAAAAAAATGCTTTGAAAGAGCTTCAGAGACATTAGCTCCCTTAATATGGAGCGAAAAAATAAAATTCTATTCTGGGCTGCATCAACAGAATTAGTGTCAAGGGAAGTAATAGTACCACTCTATTCTGCCTTGGTCAGACCACACCTGAAATACTGTGTCCAATTCTGGGCACCACAATTTAAGGATTTTGACAAGCTCGAAAGCCTTAGGAAGAGCACTTGAAGGAGCTGGGCATGTTTAGCCTGAGGAGGAGACTGAGAGGAGATATGATAGCCATCTTCAAATATTTTAAAAGGAAGAGGATACAAGCTTGTTTTCTCCTGCTCAGAAGGGTAGGACTTGAACCAATGGCTTCAAGTTACAAGAAAGGGGATGCCGACTAAATGTGAGGAAGAACTTTCTGACAGTAAGAGCTGTTGGACATTGGAACAGTCTCCTTTAACGGAGATTCCTGCATCACAGGGGGTTGGACTAGATGACCCCTGGGTCCAATCCAACACTGCAGTTCTATAATTATGATTCTAATATTAATTCCTTTCTACTTGCTTGTTTTATTATATATTTTAAGTAAGGATGTTCTAAGGATGTTGAGATCAAATTGTTATTGTGCATTTTAACGTATATGTGTGCATTTTATATAGGTGCAAGCCTCCTAAACACGCCAGTGTGGTGTAGTGGTTAAGAGCGGTAGTCATGTAATCTGGGAAACCGGGTTCGTGTCTCCGCTCCTCCACATGCAGCTGCTGGGTGACCTTGGGCCAGTCACACTTCTGTGAAGTCTCTCAGCCCCACTCACCTCACAGAGTGTTTGTTGTGGGGGAGGAAGGGCAAGGAGAATGTTAGCCGCTTTGAGACTCCTTAAAGGGAGTGAAAGGCGGGATATCAAATCCAAACTCTTCTTCTTCTTCTTCTTCTACTTTGAGACATTGTAACTTGCTCATCAGCAAAATAGGCTCCCGGAATGAGGAGAAAGGGGAAAAGCCAAGTTACCTGTTCAAAACTGGTTCTTCTTTCAGTGACCAGCTGTCACAGATCAGTGGAGGGAGGTGAAGACCTGGTTACTTCTTTTCTGATTACAGTATTTGGTTTATTTTAAAATAGTTATTCATATACATATATTCTCACTATATGAGAGTTTAATGCCTCTTTAATCTGTTCAGTGGTAAAGATTATCTTTTCTACGATCTCCTACTCTCAATTTGGAGAAAAGGTGGGGCATTAATAATGATGATGATGATACGAAGGCTGCCCATTTTATTAATATAATAATAATAATAATAATAATAATAATAATAATAATAATAATGATACTCCGGCTCTCAGTGGTCACTGGATCCTGCATGGGGCACCTGCTGGAGGAGAGGATCCTGCCCTCGGGGCCTGATTCTGCAGAGCTTTCTAGAAAAAATCGGGACTCCTCTGCTTGCTCTCCGCCAGGAGCAGCCAAGAGATTCCTGCCGCTCGGCTCTGCAAGGGTTAAGACGAAACCACAGAGCCAAGATTCCTAGAGCGGAAGGGGGGGGTTCCTGCGCGAGAGGAGGAGGTTCCGCTTCCTGTTCCTCTCCTTCCTTCCTGTGGGACGCAGCTGCCTGACGTGGAGGGGCCTCTCCCTTCCTCTTCTCCCTTGCGGAGGAGCTTCTCCCGTTCTTTGTCCGCCGGGGGGGGGCTGCCTCTCCTGCCGCCTCCAGGTCAGATGCGGGGAAGGAGAGACGGAGGAAGGAGGAGGAGGAGGAGGAGGAGGAATGTATGTATGGTGTTTTGGGGGCTGGTCTTGGGCAAGAGGGGGGGCGATTTCAAAGGTCCTTATAGGGGCTTCGGGGTTCTCTTCCCTCCTGCGTGTCGCGAGCGGAGACCATGTTGCAACACTTTATTTCCTTTAATAAAGATCAGGCTTTCCAGCCGCTTTACTGTCAATATATTCTGCTTGGGCTCTGCTTCCTCCGACCGATAGAGATGCCCTGAGAGAGATCTCTTACACGGGCTCTAGATACCCCAGAAGGGTATTAGACATAGTTGTCAACGATTCCCTTTTTTTAAGGGAAATTCCCTTATTCCGAATAGGATTCCTCGCAAAAAAAGGAAAAGTTGACAGCTGTGGTATTAAAAGTATTATACTTATGACGACACCTTGCCTTGGAGTGCTTACAAAGAAGGGAATGGTTTTCTTCTTCCAGGGATCGGTGAGCTTCGATGAGGTGTCTGTGCGTTTCACCAACGAGGAATGGGCCTTGCTGGATCCGGGCCAGAGAGCTCTGTACGAGGAAGTCATGGAGGAGATTCGTGAGATGATGACATCTGTGGGTACGGATCTGTTTCTCCTTGATCCATAGCTAGCAAAGGTGTGAATTATTGTTGGTGTACCATCAGTGAGATCACTAGAAAGCACTTTGGTAATTTCTCCTGGACAAAGGAACATTCGAAGACCCCTGTAGGTTCAAAGCAAAGGCCCACGTAGTCCAGGATTCAGTTCTCACGCTTGCCAACCAGATGCCTATAGGAAGCCATCAAAGAATGGACCCATTGGCTATGAGTTACCTGCATTGATTTCCCTTTTTTTTCTGGCCAGGGAGGTCTCTTGTTGGATTGGGTGAGGGGTGAACAACTGCATGTCACGGAAACAAAAGGCTGAAGAGGTCTGCTGTGTGCTGGTTGTGATTTATTGCATTGGGGGAGAGTCCTAGTCTGCCTAGCTGCATAGCTTGCAAAGCAGTGTACAGGGCAGAATGGATGGAGTGGCATGGGTCTGAACCTCCTCTCTGTCCCCAACAACTTACAAGAAGAATAGGAGGAGCCAGGTGCTTTGGGAACTGAGCCTACACAGGAGGGTTGTGCACGAGAGAGGGAGGTCCTCAGGCCTGTTGGGGAAATGTCACCCAGCACCCAACTTACTGTTCTGGCTCCCAAACATATTCTAAGACCCTTGTCCAGTAAATGTTCACCTGTTATCCTGCAGCACAATTATTTCTGGATTCTGCTTGTGGAAGGGAGAGGAAAGAGTCGTGGTGGGGATCTTATTCTGCCACCTGAGTAGAATGCTCACAAGGACCTTTCCCCCCCCATAAGACAGGAATAGGGACGCCTGGCTCCCTCCCAGAAGTTGCTGGATCCCAACATCCTCTCTGTTGACTGTCCATGTTTGCTGGAGCTGATGGGACTTTTTTCAGCAGCATTTGGAGAGCCAAAGGCTCCCAATTCCTCCCTGAAGGACTTTCAACTTTAAAAAAACCAACACTCTTTATCCTGTTTCTCTACATCAGTGTTTCCCAACAGGGGCCCCAGGATTTTCCAACGGGGTCCCAGGTGAAAATTATGTAAATTTGGGGGCTGTACAGCATGAGGCTTAGGGAGCCACAGAGGGAAGTGAGAAGAAAATAGAAAAAACCATTAATCATTCTGGTTTGGTTTCAAAATCCTGATTGGCTGGCTATCTGCTCGGCCAATCACAAGCAGGTAAGGGGGTGGCCCACCAGGGCAGCGTAGCGCTGCTGCTTCTGTTTTCCTTTGTGCATTTTCTTAGAGCAGTCCTGGTTTGTT